GTACTTGATCTAGCTTTCCTCCCACTGCGAGCGACCAAGCCTTAAGAAGCGAAGCAAATCCCATCATATCAGAAAGGGTGTGTAGGAAGACCAAAGACACTAGAGTACCATCCTTGAAGTTGACAACTCGGAGCGCGATTTGTGGTTCATCGCCTTGCAAGTAGTCCTCGAACTTATCCGGTGCGCCGGGGCCAACACTCAACGACCTGAAGTAACGGGGACTGGGGTAAGTCTCCAGTTTGCCCGTCGGCCTAGGTAATTGAGACGCCATAGGATGCTCGGCCATGCACATATCTTCTTTGGCGTGTGAATACCTCAGAGGTGGTCTTTCGGTGGTAAATGGACGTGGAATATGAATCTCGACTTTTCCAGAGTCCTAGTGGCCTCTGTATCAGTCCAGCCTCCTGAGCGTCACCGATTTATAGACATGGACGAAAGTCCGTCAACACTAACCGTCTTTCGCAATCTACCTCCAAGCTTTCTCCAGCCTTCTATCTCGAGTAGCTGCCACATGCCATCTTTCAATTTGTCGCCGTCCAGAGCTTCGTCGAATCGACAAGTCCACGCCACTGAGGTAGTGCGATATCCCGCGAGATCGTCGAACATGTGCATAGGCACGACTTCATCTGTAGGCACCAACAAAGCTTGCTGGTCCTGAGGCGTGAGCCTGAAAAGGCTCTTAAGAAATGACACCATTGGCGGTCAAATTGTATTAAGCGCGTGTATCGAAATGAGGTTCGCAACAGTGTTTCCTCCGCGCTTTGAGGGGCGACGCCACGAGGAGGTGTTTCGCATGCAGCTTTGGAAATGTTCGTTTCCGAGTATGACGGTGTATTGGGTATCGCAATACTACGTAGTACTTCCCTACTCCTAGCTATTGTTAGAAAAGTGGGTATTTGCATGTGGAAGGATTGCCGTACTATCACTTATCCATTGTTCTGTAACGTTAATATCTTGGGGTAACCGTAACAAATAATTGATACTCGCGGTCTGACGAAAGAATACACGAAGGCTTAGGTATGCCGTATGATTGTTAGCCTCTAGGATCCAGTCTCGCATTTTTTTGCACATCAATTCCAACCCTGGGCAACCCCGCTAAAAAGAGAGGGTTGATTAAATTAGCTAAGTAAGTATAAAGGTCGCATATTATGCTAGACTTCCTTTCAACCCATGATTAGGCTTGTGTGTTTCAGCTACCATAGGGGGCACCTCGCATTTGGAGAAAGCCGATCGAATAGATAGCTCTACGGTTCTCGAATAGCTGCAAATGCTGCCGCTATAATCCTATCTGCGGGGGCGGCCTCAGTCTTTGTATCCTGTCGCCCCATTTACAATGCGGCTAGTTGGAATCAGAGCTGCCTAATGTGGGTTGTCCCATCTGCCGATATTCGACAGATCTGTAGTGAGCCATATGCTACATCCCACAACACTCCCGAGGGCTCCTTTGTCTAGAATTAACCGCCCATTTGATTTTATTCTCCAAAGTAAATCAACTGCAAATTGTATTTCTTCTTGTCCCCAACACTCTACATCGTCTTCATCCGCTGCATCTAATGCAACACCTATTGTGCGGCGAGTTCATTCCTTGGTGGATGTTGTATCCTCCTGTCGTAATCTATGGAATCTACTTGTCAATTAAATATCGAAGTCTTACCCTACCAACGATTGCTAATCCCGGCATCTATACTGGAGGAGCGTTCGGAGAGTCCAAATTCGAGTTGTCGCGGGAGCTCTTTCGAGTCTCTCCGGACTTTGCAGCTAAGACAGGTCTAATCGAAGGCTGCTCGGTGGGGGAACGACTTGTCTCATTGCAAAAGACTATGTCAGCACTACAAGTTGATTTTCCTGTGATTTTGAAACCAGATATAGGTCAGGGTGGCCTTGCGGTCGAAATTGTCAGGAATGCTGAGCAGGCAAGGGAATACTTGGATCGTTTCATGGGCAAGATATTACTGCAAGAGTTCGTTCGCGGGCCATATGAAGCAGGTATTTACTATTGCAGATTTCCTGGTCGGGAGAAAGGCTCTATCCTAGATATCACCGACAAGCGATTTCCTGTTGTGATAGGAGATGGACAGCAGAGTATTCAAGATTTGATACTGCGTGACCCAAGAGCTCGACTTTTCGCATCACATTATCTTGAACAGCTTGGTCCATTAGCCCGGCGGATCTTATCCCGCGATGAAACGTATCGCATCTGTTCACGAGGTAATTGGGTACAGGGCTGCATGTTCTTAGACGGAATGAGGCTTTGGAGTCCAGAGCTAGAGCAGCGTATCGACAGCATCTCGCGTGGTGTGAGCGGGTTTTTCATTGGGAGATACGATTTGAGATACGATTGTGAAGAGGACCTGATATCAGGGCGTGCATTCAAGATAGTTGAGCTCAATGGCATCACAGCAATACCCACAAGTTTGAAAGATCCCAAGACAAGTGTTTGGCATGCGTGGGGATTACTCTGCTATATCATGGGATGTTTGTTCGAGGTTGGAGCAAGGAACAGGGCACGGGGACATAACCCAATGCCAGTAGGAAAGCTAGTAAAGGCGGTGACGGATTTCAAGAATGTCATGAACATGATGTCCCGAAAGTCACAATAGACTAACCTCTTAAACCTTGCATGTCTATAACAGACCAATGTATAAACATCTTGAGAGATCTGCCTATTGAGCTATTCCGCAGACCCGTAACTAATCGCCAAATAGCTCATCGCCTTTGGCAAAAACGCGTACTGACAATATAGCTATGTACTTGATCTTTACTATGATAATGGTATATTGTATGACATCGACAACTCGACGTTCTGGGGATATTCAAAACATAGTGAGCATTATCTTTCGAATAGTGGAACGAGAGCGCTGTAATACCGACTGAGCAGACAACAAAAGCCGACGCGTTCACGGCCACTGTTGAGGGTATTGTTTGCACTCAGCAGCAAAAGTGGTATAAGACATTTGCTAGCGTACATTTTCAGCTTACGGCGAGGGTCAGCCCTTTGGAGACAACATGCGTCTAGCCCCAAGGGCTGTCTCACCATCATGAACCCGCTGAGTCAGGGTTTAGGAAAGGTCTTAGGATTAGTGGAGGCATTGAGGCGGGCTGGTCTCGAGCCGTTGCAGCACTCACCGAATGCGGATCTACAAAATAAAAGATTGAGACAGCACCCAGTGACTAGACAAACATGTTTCTGTGGTTGAAAATTAAAGAATTTATCCCAAAGCTACTACACTTGTCCTGATGCACATGAATTTTGATACTGGTCTTTCACGATCGACATCCCTTCAAATGTTGTAGAGTTTCCTCAAGGAGGCAGCGAAGATAATAAAAGCAACTACAGCTCATTTTCTAAGCCAGGAAAGGACTTCAGAAAATTCTCCTGAGACCCCTCAAATGACCCAGGATATACAATCCTGGCTCCGGCAACCCGTCCCTTTGAGCCTTTAAGAGTATACTGGGCCGTGTCGGACGGCACTTGGTATAATTTCGCTGGCTCCCCTGAGCAGGGGGTAGGCTCCCTCCCATTCTGGTAATAGATGTACAACATGTCGCCTTGCTTGACATCTCCGAAGACTGCTTCGTCAAATAGATCCTTCACGACAGTAGTGGAGCAGCACGCGCCGGAACCAGGTGAGTCGCAGGTGTGCGAGGGTGGCTGGGATGTAGCTCCCACCAGTTCGATAGACCGCGATGCAACGATCGAGGAATATAGAGCAAGCAGTACGAGAATTTTCGGTGAAAACATCTGCTTTGGTATCCATCAGCACTGTATGTCACAAATTGGCATGAAATAATTTGACCTTGGATTGAAGCTGAAGTCGTTGAGAATTCAATTGCTTGACAGGTTTAAGGCTAAGGTTTCGTTGGCATGAATGATGGTTGAGAATAGGGAAGTCTGGTATGAATTGAAAAGAAGAAATAACCCAGATTGCAGCGGCAAAGAATCCCATCTTATCCATGAAATCTGAATCTATAGTTATGTCGGAAGCTAGCTTTAGGGAGAAGTCAGCCCATGACTGCTGGTGCTGATGACCATATTTCCGGACAAAATCTCACGACAATATACTTTAAAAGTGCTTACAAATTTTACGCGACCGAAACTAAAATGCATTTCGACAGAACGTCCCAAGAGGAAGCAATGGTTGCAGCAGATGTCTTACTCCGGAAGGCCGAAACAACATTTGCGAGGCTCCTAGGCCGGCATCAGCTAGTCTCAGACGATTCCACTTTCTACCTGAAGACGTACCGCGGTGAGTGAAATACATGGTTCACTAGCTTCAGCCGAGCAGCAATCTAGGTTATGTCTCAATGCCATTTAAGGCTATCTAGCTTCCCGTGTGGCCTTAGTTGCCCGTTGAGCGGCACTATCGTGCTGTCGCATTACCCTAGAGAGCCCAGCCAAACCCCACGTATTCAGCTGAAGCGTTGGCATCTGCGACTAGTTGAACTATGTAGAATTGGAGGTTTCTGACCGTAGAGCGGATAGGGGCCGCTGTGTAGCGAGGATTAGTCCTCGGCCGTAACTCTGACGAAAATCCAGGCCAGGAGAGATGCTTTACACATGATCCATTGCCGAACCTTAAGGATCCGCCGCCGTGAACCAAAAATTAGGTTAAAGTGATTTCACGCTTGTGAATTATACTTGCTTAGTTGCCTTGATCCATCATCTGGCATTTATAATTGGTGCTCTCAACCAAGCTGAATAAGTCTAGGATCACCAGGGTCGCAGCGGAACATCGGCGCCTTATTCAATTTGATCGTTTGGATTAGCAATGATCACTTGCCTATACGATTCATCCATTTGCAGCGCAGAAATTGACTATCAAATTTTCGAACGCTGTCATTCAGGTAAGAGGAGCGCAGATGGGTTTGTAAAGCATATCTCTATGAGACCTTATATAATACATTCGATCCGTCATGAGCCGATAGGTTCCCCGATTAGTACAGTGTTTGACAACTCTCTACCATGTATATCTGAAGGAAGCCACAGGAGCCTTAGAGTTTTACTTTCGCACATGCCTGACACGGGAGTAGAACTTAGTCGGAATAGTTTCGTTTCCTGGGTTTCCCGCAATTCCGTTGTTCGCTAAGACGTTGGCTGTGCCGCTTGGAACGCCGGAGATAACATCAGAAAGGGCTGTTTTAGCAATGTAGCTGCATAGCTCGACAGGGTCAGTAGGAACAGTTCCTAGACCGAGCAGATAGGCAGCAAGGCCAGCAATGTGTGGGCTAGCCATGGACGTTCCAGAAATCGTGTTCTAGATCTCATTTAGTCATTTTTGCCAGAATGAACTGACAAGGTGCTGCTTACTGTTTCGCCACCAGGCCAGGTGCTCTCAATATCAGTCCCTGGCGCTAGGATATCCACAAGGCTACCGAAGTTGGAATACTCCGCAAGCTCGTCATCGATAGTTGTAGCCCCAACAGTGCATGCTGACTCTTCAGACGCGGGCGAAGACTCTTCTGCATCCGTAGCTTCGTTTCCTGCGGCAACTGCTAGAAACAAACCAGCACCGGTGATCGATGCCGCTGCCTCATTGACTGCGGCAGAGTAGCTTCCTCCCAGAGACATATTGACAACGACACCATTAGGGCACTCCTGACCCTCAGCATCGCTGGCTACGAAGTCCATTCCAGCGATGACAGCAGAGTTGGTGCCTTCGCCATTAGCATCCAGGACCTTGACAGCGAAGAGCTTAGTCTTCTTGGCAACACCGTATGTGACAGATCCGATAGTTCCAGCAACATGTGTACCATGCCCTTGGCCGTCTGTATCGTCGCCATCATCAGCATAGTTGGCTAGCCATTCCGCTCGCCCCTCAAACTCCTAAGCCGCGTTAGTCAATACGGTCAGTGCATGAATTGCAAGTCAAAGCATACCGGATGATCAATATCGATGCCGGTGTCGACAATGTACGCACACGTGCCTTCACCTGCACTTGAATCATAAGTGTAGGTGGTACTTCCAGGCCCTGAGCTCGACAACCGTGCAAGTCCCCAATCTGCATTCTGCTGCGTTTCAGTTGCTTTAATGGTGATGATAGCATCCTGCTCTATGTACTCGACCTATATCCGGATCAGTCTTGTTAACATATGTATTTTATAGACAAAACACACATTGTCGTCGTTTTGAAGAGATTCGAGTTCTTCACTGCTAAGACCGGAGGCAAACCCTTTAAAGCTACCAATTTTATAGACATGGTCGGCGTCTGCCTTTACGGCATTCATAACACTTTCAAGTGACCCGGTCTGGGCCTCGCCCTTCAACTTTACAATGTATTTTCCATCAATCAAAGTGGCCCCTCGAGGCTGAATCAAGGGAGCTGGCTGAGCCCGTCGGGAAGGAGCGGCAATTACCAACGGCAATAGAGAAAGAATGGTTGCGGCATGCATGATGATGGATGGAAAAAATTACGGGCTCCTGGCCGAGTGAGTGGATGACGATGGATGATAGGAACGAGCGAATAGCTGAGAACACGGAGCTTTACTGTTGGGTGACAGAATTGGCAAGCAATATCAGAAGACTTCCTCGTCTTTTATGCTTCAACTCTCGGTCACCCATGTCAGATCGCCCAGCTGAGCCATCTTGACGTGATTGTTATCTATTCAGGTTCAACTGCCATATAAGGAAGCTATTAAGACTCTGGACCCAACGGCCAGTAGATCCCGCACGCCATTTGGAAGGACCAAGTGAAGATGCTGAAGCGTGTATAATATTAAGGAGTCTCCTGCAGCATAAGCCACCAGCCAACCCGTGTCCGCCAGCTCACCTTGCCTAGAACGGCATTCCAGGCATTGCTTGCTGAACCATGTGCCGATCTTTGGCATCTCAGGCAGGAGGTCCTATTATTCGTCGAGGCAGCTCACAGTCCTCATTCTAGAATGAACCCACTACCGACGCGATGTTCACGGATTGCGGGTGTGGGCCACCTTGTGGCTGCGGCGAATGGCTCAATGGCCTCGGCACTCGCATTGGATCTTACAGCGGGCGAAATGAGGTCAGGGGGTTGTTGCAGCCAATTGAGACCGCTATCGCATTGCCAAGCTCCTATCGTTCCAGGCGCCAAGCGTTGATCTACGCGGTTAAGCATAACGCCTCCTTATCAGGGGCCTCTTGCTCCTTACCATCCTAATGCAGCTGAAACATTGTTCTGGAAAACCGGGTGATGCCTACCAATGTTTACCGGGTTTACCAGGTTTGTAAGGCGGGCTGTTCTATACTCCTCTCTTTCTGATATCCTCCACAGGATCAGTCTCGTTTCAAGTAGAATACTTCCCGCGACAGCTCAGCGGACAGCGTTGGCATGACGTAATCCCAATGCAAACAGGGAGACATGTGTGTGTGCTTGTAGCAGAGATACTTACGGCTTCTAGAAGTTGAATCCTAGACATAAGGTGTAAATACAACTAAAATATGAGAGCGCTGAGATATCTATGCTTCACTTACGCTAGTTTGGCTTAGAAAAGCTGCCTCGTAGAACGATATGTACCGATAATGAGAACAGTTAGGCCGTTAAAGGAGAGCATGTTTGGCTCGAGATTCGCAATAATAGCATGCGATTCATCGAAATGTGACGTTGTACATTAGTGTGGCGTTATTTCTGTGCGTTTAGCCCACATAGGCAGACCGCGCGAGGATCGGAAGCCATCTCCGCCCGGGATTCATTCTTATATCGGTAGATTCGCTAGATGATTTGGCGCTTGACAATGCACTTGATACATCCCTCTCGTCTCGGTGTAGTACCTCATAGTTTTTCTTTTCGTCTTTGGTAGCAGTTCCGCACTGGCCTATGAGCGAGATGAATCCTTCCTTCCTAGCCTCTTTGCGGCACAGACAGGAATCCGCTATCGCGTGGCCAGCGTTGACGCGATCCGCGACTTCAAAACTTCTTCCCGCAATTGGACAGCATTCCAGACTCAACCACGCATCGCACGACATCAATCTCGCCTTCTGTCGGCTTGTTATACAGCCGCAGCCATGTTTCGGCAGGCTTTCATTGGCGTGGCAGCGCTGGCCGCTATCCTTGCCGGGCTAATCGCCTTCTGGTCGACAGCTGCAGAGAAGCATCCAGTGGTCTATGGCCGTAACAACACCGTTCTGTTCATCACGGACAACCACCACGGCCTCTCAAATGTGCATGTCGCCACCAGCTTTGCACTCCTCGAGAACCATCCCGATATTGAGATCCATTATGCCTCATTTCCCAAGCTTAGAACGAAGATCGAACGTGTTTCAAAGGCCGGACAAGCCAGAAATGCAGCCGCAAAGCCAATACAGTGGCATACGCTCCCCGGATTGAACTATGTGGATGCTGTCATGCGCACACTGTACCACAGGACTAGTGCTATGGGTGATATGACTACGAATCCGGGTGTGCGAGGGATTGAGAAGCTCGTTACTATCATGGACACTGCAGTGGCGCCCTGGACGCCCGAAGAGCACTATGACTTGCTCATGTCAATGCGAAATCTAATAGAGGAGGTGAACCCCAATGTCGTCGTAACTGATCCATTGGTGTACGCGTCTCTTGAGGCGTCACGGGGACTAAATCGATCAACTGCGATGATCTCTCCCAATGACCTGCCTACAATTCTTGGTCCTCTGCAGCCTAGGGGAGCCGTTTTCTGGAAGTATCCAGCGTAAGTAGCTGCCCTAAACCGTCGAATTGTGCTGTGTAATCCTTTTGTTGTGTCTAGATGCAGTCTCCCCTCATTTTGACTGCTTATTATCCGGAGACTGACCAAAGCGATTTATCAGAGTTGGAACCGGATTTCAATTCCCAGTTCCTTTGCGAAATCTCCCGGAGAACATCTATGTCATGTATCGTTTGGCTAAGCAAATGCTATCATCTCCCCTCGTTCGTGAGAAAAGAGCATACCTGGCTAGCAAGGGGATAACAGAGACTACTCGATTCGATCCAATCGGTTATGAAGATCTGCCATGGATATCACCGGGGTTTCCAGAAGGCGGGTTTCCTATCGACTATATTCCTCCTCATGTCGTCGCATGTGGGCCCATTGCACTGGATGTTGCGTCAGTAAAAGAACAAGATCCAGAACTTACGATATGGCTCAAAAGGGGCCCAACCATGCTCATCAATCTGGGCAGTGGATACTACTGCCCAGAGAATAATGCGCAGATCATGGCAGAATCACTCGTCCCTGTATTTGAGCAAACTGATGCGCAGGTCCTCTGGAAGCTTATCAGGCTCGACGGCTATAATGATGACTTTGCTAAATCAGTCAAGAAATACATTGACAATGGTCGCCTCCGGATAGAGTCATGGTTGGATGCGGACCCTTTGTCAATTATGAAATCAGGTGACGTTGTTGCCTCTGTTCATCATGCAGCGGCAGGTGCTTACTTTGAAAAGATTCTGTAAGTCTTCGTTTGCTTCCTAGTTTGTTTTTCAAAGTTTAATGAACGCGCCCAGTGCTGGCATCCCACACGTTGTGCTCCCTTTGTGGGTCGATCATTACAATCTCGCATCTATGACTGAATACCTAGGTATTGGGATCTGGCCCGGAAGAGACAAAACTCCTGAATGGACACCGGCGGCGCTGAGTGATGGTTATCTACACGTACTGAAGGGCAATGAGAGCATTAAAATACGTGACAAATCGAAGTCCCTCGCCAAAATCGCAGCTTCATATGGTGGGCGGAATACGGCCGCGGCGAAAGTGGCAAGTCTAGCACGCGAAGGTCCTTAGGCGAATACAGCTCGGACCTCAGAAAATATTTCTTGCCAAGTGATCGCTATTATGTATTTTCTTGTTAATTCGGTCGCTGAAAATAATACACTTCTACTCTGTCTCGTGTTCTCGCTTCTAATTCCTAACACGCGCTTCAACGCTCCAAAAGACCTAGTTCAAATTGCCAACTTTCTCCCGACCCAGACTGATCTCTTAGTTCTGGTCCAATCTCACACCCCGTTTCCAAACACCCTTGATCGACAGAGTATCCGAAATGTTAATTGTAGGATTACCCTCCACAAGAAGCAAGTCAGCCCGAAGCCCTTCCTTCACATGACCTCTATCTTTCAACCCGAATCTCCTTGCTGGAACGCTTGTCGCAGCTTTCAGTGCATCAACCGTTGTCAAGCCTGCCTGAACTAGCAATTGCAGCTCGTGGTGCACGCTAGCACCGTGAGCCAGGCCTCCGAGATGTGGCATTGGAACGGATGCATCCGTGCCAGCGAGGATATCAATGCCAGCTTTGTGGAGGTCCCCAACTGTTTTCAAAACGACATTGAAATCACCCGCCGGGTAGGTATTGAAGCTGCTCTTTAGTGTGGACAGCCATTCCTGGCTCAATTTCGAGGAGACACGCTCATCGGAGGCCAACGATGCAGGCGGCAGGCCCATAATGGACGCATTTAGGCACAAACACGGCGTGATAAAGGTTCCAGCAGCCTTCGCCTTGTGGATAAACGATTCGTCAGCAGGCCGATCAATGAAAATGTGGGCGAGGCCGTCCATTCCGGCGTCAATAGCTATCTCAGCCGTGTCATAGGTAAGAATGTGAGCAATAGCCATTTTCTCTCGACGGTGTACTTCATGCACAGCAGCTAGAATGGTATCGTTGCTAGGCACAGGTAGCCCGGGCGCCTTCAGAACGCTCCCTTCCTCGATCATGATTTTAATGTAGTCTGCACCCTCTTCGATGCGTGCTTGCACAAAGGCAACGGCTTCATGGGGGTTAGAAGCATTGGGTGCCTTAATTCCTTGCCTCTTGCCCTCGCCACCCTTGTGGCCATGGTCATGTCCGTGTCCATGTGTATGAGGTGGACCGCTTCCTGGAGGTTTGCCAGCAGGTGGACCGTCTTTGCCTTTTCCGCCGCGTGGGCCATGAAGTTCGCTTGGATGGCCCCCAGGCGGCGTGAGGCCGAACGAAGCGCTTCGGAGGTCAGCAATGTCATCACGAGATGCAACCTCGGCGCGCTGCTCCGGTGTCCAATAACCCATCATCTCCAGCTCTGTAGTGACACCAAATGTCAAAGCCAGCTTTAATTGGGGAATTTTCGTGTGTGTATGTGCGTCGATTAGACCCGGCAACAAAGTACAATTTGTGCCATCAATGACCGTGGCATCGGCCGGAATGGGTACACCAATGCCTTGAATCACTGGGCCAGAGAGAACGACCGTAGTAGGGGAATGTTCGTTCTCTCCATCGAACAGACGAACGTTGGTGATAGCAGTGGTGGCCATAATAAATGATAGAGTTGATATTTATGGTGATGTATTTTGATAAGATGATTGATCTCTTTCTTCCGAAGTGGGTAGTCAATGCGATTGCAGGTCAAGAACTGCTAGATATTACTTTATAAGTGAAATTCCCAAGAGGTAATAGCAACGATATATAGTTAAATTTCAGTCAGCTATCGCTCCCTTCTTCCTATGATATCTCGATGTCGCTTCGGTGGATTGCGTGCCGGGACTTTCGGTAGATTCGGATTATTCGGGAGCTTCGGCACTTCGGACATTTTCGAGATGCGGTCAACTGGCGAGACAGCTCTTCAACCCCGGATCCGATAAATCTAGAATCATTAATTTTATGCTAGATCAAGCACAATGCCTCTGAGTACCTTCAAATCAGCTTTGATGAATCTTTCAGGCACACTGAGTTAGGGGAGCATGGCCTTACCCTGCCAACAGTCAGGTGACTTATTTCGCTATTACTTGATTCTACTCGCTTACTTAGCTATTACTACTTACAATAAAAGAATTGATACTCCTTCGTTCTCAGTACATTCTCATGCCCTGGAGGCTTCTTTTTGTGTATGTGCTATTTGGTATTTTGATTGGGTGTTGGTCAGCAGTAGGTACTGCCGCCCTTTTTGAACACGCTACTGAAAAGGCGATAAATGATCTATGGAGCTCCATGAATCAATAACTTGTCAATATATATAAGGCCACAGAGGCTCAGTTAGTATTATGAACGGGGCAAGTAATCGCCACCCTCGGGTTCCCTATTCTTGTTTCACACATTTGTACGAGATCCGTTAGGAAGCCATAAGAATTTCAACCCCTCTCATTGTAGCATCTCGCTGAAATGGCAATGTTCCATGACTCTTTAGCTCAAACAAGTTTAAGCTTGTTTCTAACAAAGTGCGATGGAGTAGTATTCGTGATTGTCGTGCCTGAAGCCGCGTGCTCTTTAAGCAAAGGGGATAGCCCAGTGCTGAATCAATCGTCTTTGTCGTCATCCGACGATGAAAGCAGTCCTTCCTCCTCCCTTCGCCTGTCCACTAATGGTATATCTTCCACTTGAACCTTTCTATAGGTCCTCCGCACTCTGTATGTCCTAATGCCTAAGATGATCCCTACCACTATGCCAGCTATTGAAGCAATGATAACCCCCAAGGAGATCCACTTTCTCCAACCCCGTATGCAACACGGATACCAAGCCATAAACAGGGTCACCGCCCACTCTGTCCAACTCATATAACGCTTCTCATCCGGTCTCAGCCCCTTTCGTACTAGGTGCTTGTCTCGTGGACCTGTTGGGCCATCAAGGAAGCGCTTTACTCCAAAGTTCGGGATAGTTTCCTGACGGGGGTCTGAGTCTGCGTATTGCGTATCGCCCCAAATCCCTTTGAAATAGAAGAAGGATGTGAAATTCGCGGGAGATGATTGAGGAGATGATTCTTTGGGAGGAACAAGTGGCAATATCGTGAAAGAATCCGGCTCAAACCGGTAAAAATAAGCCGACAGGACGGGGTCCCAAATTTGACCTGCGTCTGAGAGATCTATTATAACTGCATTGTGTACTTGTTGACTGGAGGCATGTCAATTCATATTGTTTGTTCAGTGACTTTAACAGAATTAGAACATACCCAGTCGTAGGATAATTTGCATGAGTTCCTAGCGCGCTATAAACAACGGGCTACGTGGCTGTCAATGGGTCGATGATTCATAGAATAACAGGTTTTAAAAACGTACCCGTCCGACCTTGGTTTTCGAGACGATCTTGTCATCCCACTGATATGCGCCTCCATCTACATGCTGACTGTAGAATATGCCCGTAGGCTTGCCGTTCTGGAAACGGACCATGTTATGTTCCCTTTTGATTTATGTCAGCAATGCCCGTCTATCTAGTGCATGGCATCGTTTACCAGTCTCCAACGTGATCTCCAAAGTGCATTGCCATGTGTTCCTCATCACCTTTCAATAGACTCTTTAATGGCTCTAGAACTTGAGTGACATTTGATCCTTGGTTGTAAGTGTAGAAGTAGAAGTAGAAGGCATCTAGGTCTACATCATTCTTCTCGACTAGAATAACAACGCAAGCGGTTGAGTTGTGGAGGCGACCGGTTGCGTCTGGAGTCTCCCCAAAGAGCCATGGCGGATTTGATAGAATGTTGTCATTTGAAGTTAGTGCAACCCGATCCCCATACTTATTGAGAACCTCCAAGTTATCTAAGTCGAGCGAGGGGAGACCCTCAATTGGCTTGCCATCGAGGAATGGCGTTGTGTGTTGTATATGCGCAAGTAGATCACTGGGCATGTATTTCTCCTCTGGGTGTAGCCATATAAAGGGCGCTAGGATGAATTTGTTAGGCTGGACCTCAATGTTTCACTCCCCAAAAGTGACGTACCGTAGTCAACAACATAATCCGGGCATCTCAGGTCCGGGCCGATCGGCTCGGTCTGTCCGGCGCAGGCTAGGAGGCCGATCAGGACGGCCGGCAGTAGTCCGGGCCTAAAAGTCCGAGCTCGCGACTTCCGAGCCATCTCCTTGATGCGCTCGGTCGCGAAACCACTGGCAGTTACCGGATGGTGTGAAAGGTTGTGAGTGAGAGCTGTGCATGCGGCGCAGAAGGAATGCATCTTGTTGCTTACGCTTAATCAGCATCGGAACCTTCGGCAACCGACTGTGCCGTAACGTTATTTCAGGCCAAGTGCCCCATCACACTCCACTAGACTCCAGCACGGCACGTCAAATCAACAAGATCAATTTGCTAGTATGCCTTTGTAGACAGCTTAACCCATCCCCAAGGCAGTTCAACCCAACAGTACTTATTGGATGCCCTCCAGACTGTCATGTCATAGGTCCATCAGAGGTCTTGCTGCATATTTTTTCACAAGCGATTTCATTTTCATTTATAACAGCAATAATCTAGTACTGCAGGACTCTCTCTTCGCCCTTCGTCATCTAGATGTTCAGGAATAAGTAGTTGAGATATCTCACTGGCTGATATCAAAAGACCTGACAGTGACAAAACCTCCTAGACCCGCGGTTGCGAAGTTAAACACGCCGTATCGATATCCCATGAAGAACAAACATTGGTTGTCCTGCACGTGAGGCTCGCCAAAATCAATGTAACTCGTCCCATCGGAGCTATAAGAGAAGCGGCCCTCGTTCCCATCCCCTCCGCTAATGTTGACGTTTAGTCGAAACCAAATAGTGCCCCCCGAGATCTCTACATTGGAAACCTCCGTGCCTTTTGTTGTTGGTTGCCCAGCCGTCTGCTGTTGGCTCCATCGTCACTTTGTTCACCATGACCAGTCTCGTCGTGTCCCCGGTCTTGGTCACCCCTATCCACGCCGCCTGGTAACGGAAGAGGGTAAGCCCGGCACGATCACCATCGATCATTCCGGAATAGTCCAGCTCAATTGTTACTATGGATTGTGGACCAAGAATTCGGTGCGAGAGAGTATTTCGTGCTGTGAAGAAGTCATCCGTCACCGTTGCGGTGTGAAGCACAAGACCGTTGTTGATCTCCCACGCATCATTGTTTGGGTTATGGTTCCACTCGTACTGAGGGCCAAGGCTCTCAAATCGATCGGTTCCTGTAATTGGATTTGACTGGCCGTTGTGGCAAAGGATATGGGTAGGTAGACGCCCATTCGTTATCGACGAATTCAACGGATGGCCACCCATCTTCATCCCAAGAATTCGGGGCTAGCACAGGGAGCCGTCCACCCGGATAAGCATCCACGAAGGCCATATAGTACCAATCCCCGGCTGGCGTGGAAACGAGGCCCCCTTGGTGAGGGTTCCCGTTGCCGGGGACGGGCTGGCCGTTTGACTTTAAAACTTGCATGCCCTATTATACTCAACGAGAGTCGCTCATAATTAAATATTTCAAGATTATGGATATCTTTTATGAATAGCACATCATCAAGATTATGGATATCTTTTATGAATAGCACATCATCAAGATTACATTCGTCTTCCACATCACCAGCTTACCATCCTGGTAATATATCTTCTATGACAGCGGTATGGGACCTATATAGAGTTTAGTTCAATATGGCTTTTTCAGTCCAAGGTCTATCTATATCCAGTTCTCCACACTACCTACCACATTTAGCTTCTTCATTTTCTAAGCAATTTTTGTCCTATAATCTAGGCGCCGAACAATGCTATTGCATACATGATGGATGGTGTTCTTGTCTCATGAATGAGAGCAGCCGCCCGAATAGGGTTAGCTCGTCATGTGATACGTCAGGAGCATGAAACAGTCACATTAGTGATTACTTCACTCAACCTTACTCTTGTTCAATCATTTATTACCAAACAACCCACCTATTCACAATCGAAGCATTCTTTTCTCTGACCCATTGAAGCCAAAGACCGGTGCTTTGTTGATAGAACCACTCATTCCCAGCATTCACGATTCGTTTGCTTGATCTCCAACAGAAACGCCCCAAGGAAGCGCAAGGAAGAGCGAGTACACCCGCCTAGCTAGCGATGCTGTCGAGGATTCAAGCACGGGGTTCTGTTCACCATACCATTTGTGCCCTATTACTCATAGGCGGCTATGCGTCTGCTCAACGCCAAGACCAAAGAAATCACCAAATTTCTCGACGATGAGCTTCCAGAATATGCCATTCTGTCACACACATGGGATCGAGATGAAGTGACACTCCAGGATATGAAAAATCTATACAGCGATGGTTACCCAACATACGGCAATCCGGATTCAGTACATGATGTTCAAAGTCTGAAAAAGATCAAAGGCTGCTGTGAAGAGTCCCTGAAGCATGGACTAGACTGGGTATGGATTGACACTTGCTGCATAGACAGGACAGACAGTGTCGAACTCTCTGAGGCTATCAACTCTATGTTCCGATGGTATCGTGAGGCTGCAGCATGTTATGTCTATCTCGCGGACGTGCCTGATGATAATAACACTGATACCTCGTTCGACTCCCCGTTCTGTAACAGCAGGTGGTTCACTCGAGGTTGGACATTGCAGGAGCTTCTTGCACCAAAGCATGCGTACTTTTACAGCAGCTGTTGGTCTCTTCTTGGTGAACGACGCCAGCTTTCTACTTCTCTTCATCGCGCAACTGGCATTTCTGTCCAGGTGCTGGAGAGAGGCGATTTTCGTTACACAAGCGTAGCCCAGAGAATGTCCTGGGCATCGAAAAGAACCACAAGCAGAAAAGAAGACATAGCATATTGTCTTTTGGGGATTTTCGATGTCAACATGCCGCTTCTCTACGGGGAAGGAGAGCGGAAGGCATTTTTTAGGCTTCAGGAGGAGATTGTCAAGACAAGCAGGGATGATTCTCTCTTTGCATGGGGTGTTACCTTGGATGGTCTGCAGCAACTTGACGAAGTGGGATTACTTGCACAGTCACCGCGAGATTTCGCGAGTTGTTCAAATGTGGTGAGATGTCAAAGTTTGCTCAGTCATCAGGACAATGATTTTGAATTCATGAAAGGCTGCGTGAAGATGAAAATTCCGATCTCCAAGGTCATCGAGTTTGGCTTTCCAAAAGTGGCGGTTCTGAATTGTCGTCTAGCCTTTGAAACAAACAACTTCCTCGGTATCCCTTTGCTTCCATCTTCTGTAGTCAATTCATCGACGCTTTGGGAGGAGGACGGAGTGTCAATGGAAAGGCCCCGAGCGCTCGCCATGGTATCATATTCAGGAACTCATATAAATCGAAGGAAAAAGACCACCATATTTGTGGGCAGCGGAACCGATACTACCTACGGGGCCGGCTCCCAAGTCGGTTTAATAACGTATGAGGCATCGCTGGTGCCAGCCGAATTTCGATTACACATGCAAGAAAACAAAATCATCATACCGCCCCCTTCAGGGATCTTCCGCTGGAGGGTCTCCGTATTGTACAGCGATCCAGCTTTTCGAATCACGACTGGGCATCGTGACAGGTCATGTCCTGGAATGGAAGTTGGTATAGAAAGCTTTGAGCGACTGACCACCCCAAGCACCTTCCTCCTCTATGAAGCGGATGGCGTTGACGGAGACTGCTCAATGCGCTTTCTACTTCGACTCACCGTGAAACCAGCACGACGGCTCATAAAATTCCTGAAATATGGCGTGAATGGGGCATATCTAGAGTGTGCTGTCTCATATATTCCTGAGGATCGCGTGCCATTGCACTATCGTCCGGAAGATCTCTTGGATCGTCACTGGCGGCCTGTGGTGCAGATGAATGATACAACTATCACGGCCTACATTTTACCGGAGCGGGATAGTCAAAAGGTACACATATACTGCACACCCACGTCCACAGATTTGCGATCGGAGGTGGTGGACTTTCTCAAATATGACATCCATGCGGCGAAGAAATCGAGTGGGCTGGGCGGTGCCATACTCAATATCCTGGGTCTTGTACTTTTATGTCTCTCATTTGCGTTTCAAAGGTTAGATCTGCTACATGATTTAACCGGATCTATCTCGTCTGCTATGGGCAGTGCCTTATTAGCGTCAGCCCTATTTTGGCAGTTTATATGTGGACATCATTTCTTCACGACAATATTGGTCTTTATTGTGGTTAATTTCATGTTGATCATATTTCTAGGACTTGCACATATCTGAACCAGGTCCAACCCATTAGCTGTGAAAAAATTGAGTTATCTGGCAAAGTACAGTTACCCATTTCATGGGAGCTTAGATAACATGGTATATAGCTATTGTGAAACATATGGATAGCCTTAATATGGACATGGGATGATCTTGTAAGACAAAAGCTGAGACAGAGGATTGCAACAATGGCATGACCAGTTTACTGCTCTTGAATTTGCTTAGTATACTAACATACTAATCTTTGGGTGCTCTTTTCGATGATATATCCACAGACTATCTAGTAGGGTGAGCAACAGTCTCGGCTGACACTTTTGAGTGAACCATCATGAAATTATTTTCATGAAAAAAAAGTGATATGTATCTAACAAGCCGTGCAGTGCTACAACTTAGGGAGATATGATGAACGAACGGGGGCAGAACTCGAGGCAGTTCTTGATCTACTGTAGTCCACACACTTAGCCACAAGAAGAGGGGGAAGAGGGAAGAGGGTGTGCAAAAAAAACCAAAGGGGGATGACGGGCGGGTGCTGAGGGGGGAAGAGAGACGACAAAGAACTCGCAGTAAACTCTGGTGGCATGGCAACATTGTTTCCTTACTTCTTCAGATCAAACCGGTCCAGGTTCAGCACCTTGTCCCAGGCAGCAACAAAGTCCTTGACGAACTTCTGCTCGCCGTCCGAGCTGCCGTAAATCTCCGCAATGGCACGCAGCTCGGCCTGGGCGCCGAAGACGAGATCGACACGTGTGGCGGTCCACTTCTTGGAGCCGGTCTTGCGGTCTGTGCCCTCGAACAGGTCGCTGCTCTTGTCGACTGCCTTCCAAGCGGTGTTTGTGTCGAGCAGGTTGACAAAGAAGTCGTTGGTCAGCTGGCCAGGACGCTTGGTGAACACGCCGTGCGATGAGCCGTCGTAGTTGGTGTTCAGGGCACGCAGACCACCAACGAGCACTGTCAATTCTGGAGCGGACAGGGTCAGGAGGTGAGCCTTGTCAATGAGGAACTCCTCAGCGCGGACACGAGGTGTGGATTTGCCATAGTTGCGGAACCCATCGGCTCTTGGCTCGAGATGGCTGACAGACTCAACGTCGGTCTGCTCCTGTGTAGCATCGGCACGACCTGGTGTGAATGGGACCTTGATGTTGTGACCGGCATCGTTTGCTGCTTTCTCTACACCAGCAACACCGCCGAGGACAATGAGATCGGCAATAGAGACCTTCTTGCCACCGCCCTGAGAGTCGTTGAAGCTCGTTTGGATCTTCTCATACGCGCCGAGCACTTCCTTCAGCTGAGCAGGGTCATTCACCTCCCACTTGTTCTGAGGAGCGAGACGAATGCGTGCACCATTGGCACCGCCACGCTTGTCGCTGCCACGGAAAGTGGAAGCAGATGCCCAGGCAGTGGAGACAAGGTTCTGGACGGTCAAGCCACTAGACAGGATCTCCTTCTTGAGAGCAGCAACATCGTTGTCGTCGATGATAGCATAGTCAACCTCGGGGATAGGGTCTTGCCAGAGCAGAACCTCGGACGGAACCTCAGGACCGATGTAACGCACGCGCGGGCCAAGGTCACGGTGCAGCAGCTTGAACCAGGCGCGAGCAAAGGCGTCCGCGAACTGATCAGGGTGGTCCTTGAAGCGACGTGAAATCTTCTCGTATGCAGGATCGAAACGCAGCGAAAGATCAGTGGTCAGCATGGTCGGCTTCTGCTTCTTGTTGGGGTCGTAGGCATGGGGAATGATCTCCTCTGCGTCCTTGGCCACCCACTGGTTTGCGCCAGCGGGGCTCTTGGTCAACTCCCACTCATACTTGAAGAGGTACTCGAAGAACTGGTTGCTCCATTTGGTGGGAGTCTTGGTCCAAGTGACCTCCAGACCACTGGTGATGGTGTCGGGTCCCTTGCCTGAGCCGTGCTTGTTGGCCCAGCCCAAGCCCTGCTGTTCAATTGGGGCCGCCTCGGGTTCCTCCGCGACGTTGTCGGAAGGAGCCGCGCCGTGCGTCTTGCCGAAGGTGTGGCCGCCTGCAATGAGCGCAACAGTCTCCTCGTCATTCATGGCCATGCGGCCAAAGGTGGTGCGGATGTCCTTTGCTGCAGCGACCGGGTCCGGGTTGCCATCGGGGCCCTCCGGATTGACGTAGATCAGACCCATATGGGCAGCCGCCAGCGGCTTTTGCAGGTCGCGAGAATGGATGTCGCGGGGCTTGGGGTCCTCGTCTGAGACCAGGGCGCCGCGCTCTGCAACTCCCTCGGAGCCCTCAGAGTATCGGACATCATTGCCGAGCCAGGTGGTCTCGCCGCCCCAGTATACTGACTCATCAGCCTCCCAGGTATCGGCACGGCCACCAGCAAAGCCGAAGGTCTTGAAGCCCATGGACTCGAGAGCCACGTTGCCAGTGAGCAGCAGCAAGTCTGCCCATGAAATCTTGTTGCCGTACTTTTGCTTGATGGGCCACAGCAGGCGGCGGGCCTTGTCGAGACTGACGTTATCGGGCCAGCTGTTAAGAGGAGCAAATCGCTGCTGGCCTTGACCACCGCCTCCACGGCCGTCGAAGACACGGTAGGTACCCGCGCTGTGCCATGCCATACGGATGAAGAGACCGCCGTAATGGCCGAAGTCAGCGGGCCACCACTCCTGAGAGTCGGTCATAAGGGCCGTCAGGTCCTTCTTCAGCCCATCGTAGTCGAGAGTCTTGAAAGCCTCCGCGTAGTCGAAGTCCTTGTCCAGCGGGTTGGAGATGTCTGTGTGCTGGCGCAGGATGTTGAGCTTGAGCTGGCCGGGCCACCAGTCGCGGTTCTTGGTTCCGCCGCCCGCGACGTTGACCTTCAGGGTGTCATGGACAGGGCACTTCTCTGCTGCCATGGTGAAGAAATAGACGATGACGTTCTCTAAATATTAGGTGCGTAATTATGATGATAGGGATGGCGTCCGCCTTAGAAAAAAGAGCTCAGCTGAGTAAGGTGGTAGGTGACACTCACTCACTCAATCAGTCAATCAATCAGTGATGGACGAACACCACAGAAAGTCAGACAACGGGACGGTATTGGAAGGGGACAAGTGAGATAAGACGGCAGCAGGGCGAACGAGCGTCGAGCGGCCTCTCCTCTCACACGGGGACGGAATGGCGACAATCGGGTTCCCTAACTAACTTACTTAACAGGAGCCAGCAACGGATGGTAGTGAGGAGGAGTGAAGGATGGATGATGACTGAGAGAAACTCGTGGCGATGACGGATGAGGTGATCGGCGGCCAACCCCGCACCTTATCTGAAGAGTCCCATTGGCAAACTCTTCCCAAGTCTCCACAACCCGACTTGCCCGCCCCTCCCGATATTCGGCAAATGCAGCCATTGAGACGCCCCGGGTTGTCATCACCGGTTGTCTGATGCCTGGGGAAGCGGGGGAAAGAGGGGCGCTGCATCTCTGTTGCGCGGAAAGTGGGCATCTCTCCTGTAGCTAAGTTGTTCTAGGTCTTTCGGTTACACTTGTAGCTTTCGAGACAATGGTCCAAATGAAAACATTGTGTTACTAATACGCGCCTTATAAGGTGTAGTGTCTCGAAGCTCAAAAGCTCCCCACAAAATGTCGCAACTCATGAAGTTACAACAAGTTTAGCTTCCAGGCGAATTGGTGTCTTGTGGTTGGCTAATGTGACACAGTAGGTAAAAAGCCTCAACTACTTTCAAAGTCTTCGATGCTTCATCAATCAGAGGCAAGAATCATTAGATATTTTCTATAAACGTTCGTGTTGCTGCATGTACTCTAGCCTCAGCTCGCCTTATTAACTAGCATATTAGGGGACTCGTGGTTTGTCGTTTGAGTTGTGTGTAAAATTTTCTGTTTCTGATCAGATGGGCAAAGCCAAGCAAAGACAACACAATGTCATTTCTTTGTGGCTAGGAACACTGTCAATTTGTACTTTTATCAATGCAAAATATGTTCGTAGTCTGGCCAATTGCTGTAGAGAATTCGCGGTATCCCCGCGACTAGACGGTCGACACGTGTGTGCCATGTTGAGTGGTTGCTAGTTGCCTAGCTGCTTACTCACTCAATGTGTGACTTTGACAGCCTTGGTTCTTCAAAAACTGCAACCATCTTGTCCTCTGTTATAGCCTCAACGTTTCAGAGATTGCAACAGGCTTGAGATTGTGTCAACTAGCGTCTTACACAAATTATAGCTGTGATGGCATCTCCTGAAAATGAACCACCATCCAACGTTGCACCTGACCTCGCGTGGACATCGCTAGTAGAACGCAGCCTTGAGGCTTGGAAATCACTCAAGCTGAACACCGAGGTAGGCGTGTTCCAGACATCATTCTTGCAGAGTTATAAGAGTCTAGACGAGCTTTTGAGCTCGGGGCTAGGACATCTCATGTTCTGGTTCTTCCAACGACGAGACGCATTTTTATCACAGAAAAGGATGTCAAAATGGAGTAGGACTAGCCTCGACGATTATATCCTCTTTCCCGCTAATAATGGATTTGTCAACCGCATCGATTGCTTTTTCCTCAGTCACTTCTGGCACAGCAAAGACCACCCTGACCCTGATGGCAAATATTTACGCCTTATCCAAGACGATCTCCAGTCACAAGAATGGTCGTACATCTGGGTTGACTGGACCTGTATACCTCAACACCCTCGCAGTCCGACCGAGGAGGCATTTTTTGTGAGGACACTGCAAACTGTGTCGGGTATCATTAGAAACTGTGGATTTATGTGGTACTACCCGCCGTTTGAACCGCGCATGTGGATTCTGTACGAAGTTGCTGAGAACCTTCTCACCTCCGAAGGCCCCTTCTTTGGAACTGAAGACATAAGAGCATTCATAGAGCACATTCAGGAGATGTTAGAAGCCGGAGTTCGCCCGACACTTGAAAAGTACGGCTACAACTGCTCGTACGATCGCGATAAGGACTTTCTCACCTCTTGGCTGGAGGTTCTTGTCCTTCTCAAGAAGCTACGCTTCGATGTTGACGATATAAGGCGCCTCCTAGACGCACTGACCTGGGGACATGGTATACATTACATGTACCTAGGTACCACCAAAGGCGCAGTCACGTTCATGCGACAAGAAGGAACTCTAGATCTAAACGGGAAACGTTACACTTTCACACCATTTCCCAATTGGGTAAGTTGTACGTCAAGATGTCGAATCTGGGCTGACCGAGATGATATAGGAAGACGGCAAATATTCCACGAACACTCTGCAAGTTCCGGAATAAAGGGACCGATAACAGTTTGCGTTAAAGGTTGGATCTACACGAGGTATCAGAACAATAGACTTGTACCACGAGCAAGTTTGAGACTGTCCTAATCCAGTTTCTAGAGAGATGGAGGGTTTCATTTAGCGTGAGCTAGAGCAGAATGGGGCTTCGAACAGGTGCCTAATAGCATGACTGAGGTACGAGAGGTTTATAAACATAACCCAAGGCTCTTAGCTGTCGAGGTCTTGAGATCCACTCTCACAATAGTCCAATTTTTGATGATTATATATGCCACCTATAAAATCGGGAATTTAAATATGAGGCATGAGACACGGATGGCACAAATCCTGGGCTTTAATTCTGCCTGGAGTTGTCACATGGATTGCTCACATTGAAGGGAGGTGCCTGTCCTAGTTGCAGTTGCTTCAGCGCTGCGATGGAAGAGGGGGTAAATATTGGGCCGCATTACATATCCAAGGCCTATAGCTGATCAAAACCCGTGAACGCATTTGGTGCTGCAAACATAGCAGGGCCCGAAAGGAGAAAACGAAGCCTTCAACTGGAGGTAGATCCTCAAACTGTCTATATAAAAAATATAACTAACCTTACGACTAAGTGACTTTCCCCGTTTGAGGCTCATAATATTATCTCCTCAAACCGAATGAAAATATTTCGGGCATGAGCCTCCATTCAAGAGCTATGTAATGCTCAATAGAAGTGCAATGTCTCTTCTCAGCCAGCCTTCGCCTGGCGAGGACCGTGTCGGACCGCGAGGGAGAACACACCAGCACGAGGCTGCAGGTGGCACATTCTATTCCACATTTCGTTACTCAGAACTAGATCCCAATACTGATCAAATCCGCTTGCTTACCATTAAACCTCCTGATTAAGAGGATTACAAGCGCAATGCCGTGAAATGCGAGATAGTCGATGGCGTTTCGCTTGCATCTATAACTAATCAATATCTATCCGTCTCATATGAGGCAGGAGATCGTCATAGTGTCGAAGTTATATATGTTAACGGTCATCCTTTCAACGCATTTGCCCGTTTGGGCCATGATCTCCGACAGGCTCGTTACTTCTGGAGCGATAGATTCCACAAGGCAACACTGCTTGTCTGGGCGGACCAGATCTGTATCAATCAAAATAATAGTCAAGAAAGGATGCATCAGGTTCAACTCATGGGAGATATATATGGAACTTCGTCGAACGCGTTAGTATCTCTATCGTGTGAGGATGATATTGGTGGACGGGCAGAGCGGTTACACCATGTCACAACCCTGAATTCTACCTCATTGGGTGACTATTTCCTAGCTACTCGGAAATTTATTGAATCTCATATCAGTTGGAATGCATTTATGAGTACATTTCTCCATAGTCCTTGGTGGTCGCGGGCATGGATACGCCAAGAATTCATACGGTCTTAGACGTCTACTTTATTGCTGGATTTGAGTCGATCCATTGGTTGCGAGTAGCAACTTTTATAGATGTCTACCTGCACAATACCTTAATATTCAATGGGAAATTGTACGGCTGTCCATACTCTTCTGGCAATTCCCCAGGCTCTAAGAGTTCTTGTGTAGCGGGTCTGCATATTCCACCAACGACGGGTACCATTTACCGGGATGTTGGAGAGCGCGCCGAAGAACTCCTCACAAGAAAACTCGAAGTGCAGGATCCAAAACTTGGGCATTCAGAAGATCTATTGTACAATTTTTGCGACACTTACTCTTCTGCAGCAATAGATGCTAGAGTCTTGATTTATGCATGTCTCGGATACAGTGGGAATAAACATAGTATTGATCGAGACTATTTCCCAAACGTAACTCTTGAAAGTCTTTTCTGTCGACTGGCTTTGAACGTCATTGAACAGTGAGTTGGGGGATAGGGGTCCTGTCCTATATAAGGCTTGAAGGGCTCCTCAGACTGTAGTAATAGAACTCAGACTTCTATTATTACGAATTGACCTACCTTACCACCCTGTTTCAACAGGGAAAGAACTTGAACATCCTTGAACTGGCATTTCATACGCAAGGGCACCGAGGGCGCACGTTTACTTCTCTTCTGCCATCCTGGGTTCCGGATTGGCGCAAACAAAGTGGGGTAAAAGTTCCTCGCTTCGGAAAGACGACCAACAATCATATACAACAGACTTTTTCTCCTTCCAAACAGATGAGAAAGGTTAGCGAATCGAGTTCTGCGGGTACGAGGTATTCGTCATAAAATGTTAAGAACTCCCGGTGGCGCGCTGATGAAATTTTTACCGAGCTCTCAACCGGAAATTTGGGCCTATGGTGATGTGAAGGAAGGTGATGAGGTGTGGATGCTCGATAGAACGGACTTGTTCTTTATTTTCCCGCGGCAAGGGTGTCTACACAAACTCGTCGGTAAGGTGTCAGTGATCGACTCGGAGTATACCTTGTTAGAAGAGAAAAGGGTTGCAATGGCAGCAAACGACGCGAGCATTCAAACAATAGACATAAAGTGACTCTGTTGACCTAACTCTATATGATTGTGGGCTTAGACACTCTCTAGACCTAAGAGCTATCCATGCGGAAACTAGAAGCTCCGGGTATGCAGGTGCAGGGAGATCGACTTGTGACTCACGTGGTAAATGATGTGACTTGCTCTAGGTATACATTGACGATACTTGCACCTCTGTTAGAAACCCATTTTAAATAAACGTAGATTTATGGAGTGCATAAAGACGATAGCTATTTATGCATACCAATCGGAATAGAAAAGACAATGGTATTAAGGCTTGCAGGAAAGGCGACTATGTAGTGTTGATATGTAGCTGAACATCTTTCTCATTAGAACTAGTTGAAATTCCAACCAGACTTAGTCCGTACCCCAGAAAGAGGCCCGCACAAGAAAAGGAGACTGATAGTTCCTCCCAAGATTCATCATACCTCTCAGAGTTCCTCGATTCAACATGTCAGGTCGCCTGTAATCAGAAAAAGTTGCCAGCCGGCAGAGCGACGAATATGACCGTCAGAGCTCCGCCGGCGAGGATGCCAGCCATAGCCGATTGTAGCATTATAACAGTATGGATTTGTCTCAGAGCCGGCTCATGGATCGATTCTTCGCGATCAAAGATCTTGCGCACGAGACTGCGCTGCTCGTACCGCACTACCCAAGGCTCCTCTTCGAAGCTGTTACCAGAGCCAAACGAGTCAAACGAGCGCTTGTGCCGAGAGGCCGCCGATGTGCTCGTCTCGTCGTCCGGGTCTGCAAAGAGTTCCCAGGGTCGGATGTGCCGACGACGTCGGCTAAAGATGTACATACAGATGCACATGCCGCGGTGACTAGCCACAACAGCCCATATGCCGACAACCCAGCCCAGTGCGGCAAAGGCACGCCATCCACGGTCGGCGCGACTTAGGGTTACTAGTATAGCGATGGTGAAGGCCATGAGAACACCACCGTAGCCTAGAGTGGAGGCAAAGGTAATGCGAGGCGGATTGCCGTTGAAGGCGGACCACCGAACGAAATTGGGATGGCTCTGGCGGCGGAGGGTATTATCGACGGTCCTAAAGACGGTTCGGAAAGTACTAGGGTGCGTGGTGTAAGAGAGGGCGTGCAGCAGAGCCTTTCGCTCCTGGCCTGAGAGGTTGAGCTGTCTCGGCGCGCCTTCCATGATGTACGTGGCGATGATGCGATTGACTTCCTCGCGGTACGGCTGAACAGTGACTATAAGAAGATGTTAGAGTCATATTCCATTTCAAGAAGACTTGTCTTTCTCGTGTAGCTAGAAGAGGAATGCCAGTAATGCTATGACTTACAAGGCGTATGGGCTCCCGCGGCGGCAAAGTCATCGCTGAGCTGAGTGCGAGTAGTAGATGCAATGGAGAACGGGTTTCTAAAGGAGTATGTCGATGCTTCGTCGTCATGGTTGCTACAGGTGGCCGTTGATGGAGGAGTGGAGAGGGATTTGTTGCTGACCCCCATGGTGTCGACGGTCTTCACCTCGAAATAGGTACCCTTAAACATATCTGCACCTGCTCCGGTATGCTGTCGGCAAGCCTCCGATGCCTCCTTCCGTAATTTGGTGTTGATTTCATCCTCCATGGCTTGGGTCCACTCGGGTGCCATGACCAGGTCCGACGTGTCGGCCTTGTTGAAGCGTCTGACATAGTCTTGATGCCACAAATAGAACTGCAAGTTCTCGGCCGAGTGCTCAACATACATGAGATAGTCCATGAAGTCAACCAAAGTCATAGGCTGGCAGGATTTGTTAATGAAAGCGTCTCAACGGTAATTCAGGAAAACTGGAGGACGGATAACGTACCTGGCAAGTCTCTCCTCGCAGGATCCTATCGAACGACAGGGCATCAGGGATCCCTTTCGAGACGCTAGAGACGCCAGATCGAAGGGACGCCTTCTCGTGCTCGGCCGAGGACGACGTTGTTTTCCTCTTGATACTGTCTATGGATACATACGACGGCCGCCTGTATGTTAGAGGTACGGCGTCCATGTTGATTTGTTCTGCTGTAGTATGTCTAGAACAGTAAGGGTGGATGCAAGCTGAGCAATGGCTTAATATTTGATACTCTCACTTCGACCGAGGAATGAAATTAGATTACACAGACGATGATCGATAGTCTGCAGATGTTGCACGGATGTGAGAATGTGGGGAGTTTTCAGACAGTTTCCAGGGACGTCTAGAGCACAACAAGAAATCGAAAAGCTGGGTCAGCCTCAATTAGCTAAGGATGTCCAGTTCTCTAAGTTTAAGACAAGTTGTCAGTCATGCCTTGGGCGTGGGAAAAAATCAACCGTAGCTAGAGCAGGATCGCATGCAAGGGAGGACGGCAAACGGCCAAAGGGGTTGGGCACGGCAAGCAGTGCCAATTACACGAACTATCTATTAAGGAAGCACTTACTTTTAGTCTAAGTGATGCAAGCTACTCCTCGACGGAGGCGTTCGCCAAAACAAGAAAATGCAGCTTCACCCCACTGCATCCCTTGCATCTAATGCGCACGCGTGGTGTGCTCTGTTGGACGCGAGACAACACGAGGCGAAGCGGCGCATGGGAAATACGTGGAAGCACACCTTCAGTACTCGAGTTCGATAAATTGTAATTAGATCGCCAAACTAATGCATGTCGAATCTGGCTACTACGTAGGAGCACATCTCGGGCACCTCCCCCGGAGAACTCGGGAATCACCATCCGCGGGGGGTTTCCATCCCTGCGCTGCTCTCCCGCCGTCATAAACAAGTGACGAGTGACGTGTAAAATGTGACAGTGGCTGGCTAGCGTGCTGTCAAGTGTCAACATCGCTCCCTGCGTTGCCGCTAAAGCATGTATGTACGCCAGGGCTGATCAGGGGAGAACGCCATCATACAACGTGGTTGGATGCTGATCAGTACGGGAGCGAGCGAGGGCACCCCCGCCTCCCCGATCTAATCTAGAACGGGGGACCCACAGCATTGTTCATGACTTCTGAAGATGTCTTACAGCTGAGTTCTGGAGACCTCCATGCCGATCTTAGCATACCCAGAGCCGCCTGAAACTTGATTGTCTTCCACACCACAGCCGTACCTGGGAGCGCCTCAAGCCCGTCTCGGCCCGTGTGGCCAATGATCAATGGCAACCTTGAATGAAAGTGGTTGTGTGTGCAGATGGCTTTTCACTTCCCTCGAAAAAGCAAAGAAGAGATCCGGCAGGTTTTCCGACTAATAAACGCCATCTTGCTCCCACAGCCAATCAGTCCCTAGCACGTTAACAGGGTAGCTACAGTAGCTGCGCTAAAGTATGAACCAAGGGGCTGCACCGGAATCAGGAAAACATGCCAAAGTAGCTTGGAGCATGCGGACTGCATCATGGCGAGAGGCTCCGGTTCCTTACTAACAACGCAAACGACTCACTAGAGACGATAGTTAGCTTGTTGGTGTTTGCCCTACGATGCTTCACGCCACAGTGGAGATGACTGTTGTGTCAGTGGAAATGAGTCTGAGACACCGTTGGGTAAAACGTTGCCAGGCGTCGAGCCGCGCATGCTGCCATGCTTCGTAGGTTTAAAATGCTGCCGATCTTGTCGTCTTCAAGCCGCCGGGATCCTCTTGTGTGTGTACCAAGCGTGCATATGATTTGGGCAGCATGATTCTTACGATGCTCTACAGCCTCATTGCCTTCGCTGGCTTAGTCTTCGCCGGGTAAGTGAAGACAACACCACTGCTGCTCCCTTTGTGCAGAGATAAGCACGTAAATAGCTGGTCATGTGCTAACCATTGGACACATACAGACCGTCTCGATACAGGGCGCGGCAGGCTACGCCGTCGGATCTGCTCAGCACATATGACTACATCGTCGTTGGGTCCGGGCCCGGAGGAGGCCCGCTCGCGGCACGGCTGGCCATCGCTGGCAAGACGGTGCTTCTCATCGAGGCCGGTGACGATCAGGCAGGCGCTGCACCTTATGAGGTCCCTGCCCTGAGCCTGCAAGCAAGCGAGTACGATTCGATGAGATGGGACTACTACGTGAACCACTTCAGCAAGCTCGCCACGCAAGCAAAGGACTCAAAGATGACCTACACAACACCTTCTGGCGAGCTGTATATAGGGCTCAACCCACCTGCTCGCTCCACTCCCAAAGGCATCCTCTACCCCCGAGCGGCTGCGCTTGGCGGCTGTAGCGCTCACAATGCCCTTATCAGCGTCTACCCACACAAAAGTGACTGGGACGGTATCGCAACTCTCACGGGGGACAGCTCATGGTCATCGTCTAATATGCGTCAGTACTTTCAGCGGCTCGAGAACTGCACCTACGGCGGCAGTGTCATGGGTCACGGGTTCAGCGGATGGCTGTCAACAAGCCTGGCATCTCTCACGCTTGTTGTAGAAGATCTCAAGCTGTTGCGGATTGTCCTTAACGCGGTCGTCTCGATGGGGCAGGGCGGGCTGATCACGTATCTCATCACTAGCGTCGCCGGACTGGCTGGAGTTCTCCTGACAGACCTCAACAACGACTCACCTTCACGGGACTCGACTCAAGGTGTGTATCAGATGCCGATTGCTGCCGATGACGGCGTCCGCTCTAATCCACGCAACTTCATCCTCGATACGGCCAACGCGCTGAAGGAGGACGGGTCACGAAAGTATCATCTCGATATCTCACTCAATACGCTCGTCACCAAGGTTCAATTCAACCGCACCGGCTCCAGGTCTCGTGCCGCGGGCGTGGAGTTTATCCGCGGGCAGAGTCTATATCGTGCGGATCCCAGGTCCGGTGGAGTCAGGGGCGGCGTGCGTGGCTCCGTCAAGGCTGCCCAGGAAGTCATCCTCGCCGCGGGTTCATTCAATACGCCGCAGTTGCTCAAACTCAGTGGCATCGGACCACGCGCCGAACTCTCTTCACTGGGCATATCCGTCGTTGCCGACCGTCCGGGAGTCGGGACCAATCTCCAGGACCGCTACGAGACCACCGTAGTCGGCCAGGCGGCGTCCGATTTCGCCGTCATCCACGGTTGCACCTTTTATCGCAATGGCGCCTCGGATCCCTGTTTCCAAAAGTGGCAGAATGGCATAGGGGCAACGCTCAAGGGTGTCTACGCCTCGAATGGCCTCGCCGTCGCCATCGTCAAGAAGTCTGGCGCGGCCGCGACCACCGACGATCCGGACATCTTCATGGCGGGCGCACCTGTCTACTTCCGGGGATACTTTGACGGGTATTCAGACAATGCCACGGGTGACGCGACTCACTGGTCGTGGCTCGTGCTCAAGGCCCACAGCCGCAATCGCGCCGGCACGGTGACGCTGCGGTCGAAGGATCCGCGCGATCCGCCGGTCATCAATTTCAACTCGTACAACGATCCGGCCGAGGCTGCACTTGATACGGCGGCATCGGTGGAGGGCATGCGGTTTGCGCGCGGTATGCTGGCCTCGGTGGGTGGACTCACTGAGGTGTGGCCTGGGCCCGCAGTGTCCGATGCCCAGCTGGGCTCCTGGATACAGAACGAGGCATGGGGCCATCACGCCTGCTGCACGGCCCCCATCGGTGCGAGCACTGACCCGATGGCTGTTCTGGACTCACAATTCCGGGTGATTGGCGTGGATGGCCTGCGTGTCGTTGATGCATCTGCCTTTCCCAAGATCCCGGGCTTCTTTATCGCTGTGCCTGTCTATATGCTTAGTGAGAAAGCGGCGGATGTAATATTGAACCAGTCATCGTAGTATCTTCAAAATGTACAAATGGAGGCAGGCAAATAATTGTAATTAAGCTGTTTATTTCGGACATGACCCGGGAAATCATGAATCTCTATCTAAATAATTGTCGAATACTACATTTGAATGACACACCAGGCGTTTTGAAAATCGAGATCAGACAATGCGACGATATCGTACCACCTAAGTCTTGTACGGGTTCAATAAGAGGAAGTCACCGGCAAATTGCGCTCAAAGCTCCGTGGTTGCGCATATTAGAGAAACAACCCGAAAATGGATAGGCTTGTTCAGTAATCACGAGGAATGTTCTTCTGCTCTTTATCAGTGAAAGCTCCTTGGCCGTATCTATCCTCAACATCTTGTTTGTTATCGTGATGCTTCGTCGAAGAGTCTGCTTCCGCTTTCACATTACGCCACTCCATGCCAAGTCCACCGAAGATGCAGAGACAAGCAACGATCAGCGCAACTCGAAAGCATACACGGAGGGAATCATTGTACGCCTCTAGAGCTGCATCGTAATAGTTGGCTGGGATGATCTTCAGCAAGCCGGTAACTCCCGCATCTTCAATTTGCTGAGGCGTGATGTTTGTAATGCTGGCGAGTCGCTTAGCAAGTTGGCCATCGAATACGTTTTGGCCAATCGAGACAAATATGGCACCGAAGAGTGTCTGGCCAAAAAGCATAAGAGCCGCGCCAATAGACACTTCATCGCGCGGGAGGACAGTCTGAGCAGCTAGATTAGGTGCCTGGATGCAGCCGCCGAAGCCCCAGCCGTAGAGTATTTGATACCCAATCCACTGTCCCACCGTCGTTTCGATTCGCAGAGTTGTGAGTAACCCAGCCCCAATGGCCGCGATGCAAATGCTAAATATCAAAAACGGGGTGTAGTAGCCGACGCGGCTTGTGAGCACTCCGGTGACGATAGACGCGATCACAAGGGCGATGACCTGGGGTAGAAGATGAATTCCACTTTGGACAGCAGAGTCGCCCTTGATAGCCTGGAACCAAATGGGAAGATAGTAGACTGCACGGGTATGAGTATCAAATGTGATAACTTTCCGATCGACGTATACAAGACTCACGCAAGAGCGTCTGATGCGCGCCGAGACAACAGCTAACGAAGAAAGCACTTCCGATGCTTCGCTGGACGAAGATGCGCGGTGGCACTGTGGCTCGCCCCGGCTTCCAGATCTGGATTAAAACAAATGCGACCAGGAGCACAAATGCCAGTACAAGTAGAGCAATGATCCGCCCATTGCTCCACTAACCACTGTCAGTCCTGTTGGGCCCTCAAGGCACTTCCAATTGGCACTTACACTGTAGGTGAACCCACCCCACTGTAGAGCTAAGCACAGGCACACAACGCCTGGAACCAGAGCAACTAGACCTTCAACATTGAGTTGGAGAAGCTTGTCCTTTAGTGTACCCGCGGTGTTGGGACGGTCCGGGATGCGGAGGAGGAAGAAGACAAAGATCAGGACCACACCACCCAATGGAAGGTTCAGATAGAAGCACCTGTGCAGTTATTAGCACTAACATTCAGATTGCAAGGACGTGGATACATACCAGCGCCATGTAACATTCGATGTGAAAGCGCCTCCGACTATTGGACCGATAACTGATGCAATGCCATACACTGCACCAAAGAGACCCTGATACAGAGGTCGTTTCTGTAACGGAACAGCGTAGACGATAATCACGATCTGTGCGAATACAATGTCAGTCCAAAAGAATGAGAGAAGAACAGCGAGGTTGTGAGTACTTACAACCCCAGACTGGACACCTCCAGCTCCCAGCCCAGCAATGGCGCGCCCAATGATAAAAGCGACCGAATTTGGTGCCGAGCCACAGATGGCCGAGCCCACCTCGAACAGCAATACAGCAGCCAAGAAGGTATTCTTTACACTGAAAATAGTATAAAGCTTTCCAAATACCAACAAGAAGGCACAGTTGGTGAGCAGATAAGCCGTACCATACCAGCCAATATCGTTCGACGAATGGAAGTCGTTGGTGATCTGGGGTATAGCTGTTGTAATGATGAGCTTATCCTGTCGAGATAATACGTTAGCTCCTCTCCCTCTCGTTTCGTGAGCGAACGAACCAAGGCCACCAGGAACATGCCAATGAAGATGGAGATCATCAGTAATGCAAGTCTCAATCCCGTAGGGTAGACATAGTCAACAGGCTCATGCCCAGGTGGTGCCACCGCCATTCTTTTGCTTTGAACCTAAAAGTGCAGGAGTTTTCTCGGTCTAATCAGGCAATGAAAAACCCTTGTTAAGCGAGAAGATGTCGTATGCAGTTGATCGGGTTAAAAAGTTTGAAAGGAGTGAATATGAATGAGAAATGCCTTCGAGAACTTGGATTGACAACTACGTAGTCATATAGTAACTGAGACAAATTGCAGGCTACGCATGCTCACGAGTGTCACGGACAGTGGCAGCGGACAGTGATTGTGGCATCCACTAACATCAATTGGTTCATGCCCTTGAATTCGCCTCTTTTGACTCGAAGTTTATCTCCACTACAACTATCGCATAGGAAACAACAGTGATAGATCTCTCGAAGCTCATATTCTCTTGTGAATATTCTAACCAAGTTCGCTTTATTTCATCATGCAATCGTCTGCTGTGTGATAAGAAGTTGATGGTTGTCTGGCTGAGGTGGGTCAATTGACCGTCCGACCGTCCGTTAGGGGGTGGCATTGGATTGACTCGCGACTACCAGGCATGACGCAGGCGCACAATTTGGATTAAGCCACACTCTTCCACTGGTCTAGTAGCCCACCGACGAATTTGCATATTTCAAATATGCGAAAGATGATAAAACTCATCGGATTTGCCCGGGCCATGGGTGGCGACGGCTTGTTAGCTTGGCTTTATAAGAACACAAGGAGGCTATCCACGAGGCTCGACTCGTCGCCGTAATTCATTGATATAGTGGGCCACTCGAAGTCAGACTTCATAGGTTTCGGTAGGCGTGATCAGTCATGAGCTCAGCATCCAAAATGCATGGGATTGATCCATCGTTGGAGTCAAGCATGAGAAGGGAGGGATCTAAAGCCAGGCCTTGTCCATAATCAAAACCATTGAAATAGTCCTGTGTTGTCATATGCGACATCGGATTAGGAAACCCTGTCAAGGCACGTAGATTATCAGTAATCTGACCGAGAACCAAAGCAGTAATACTTACATTGTGAAGGCGAAGAAGCAGGCGGGACACTGGCCCGGGTTTCATCTTGCAGTAGGATAGTAGCGATGGCTTTTGCTGCTCTTCTGGCCTCCATGGACCTGTCTGCATTCTTTTCCCATAGACTTTTAGCAGTAGCTAAAGCTTCAATTATGTTGTCTCGCCTCTGGATAGTTGATGAGTTCCCAGCCTCGACTTGTTGATTACCTAGTCTGCTCAATGCAAAGCAGAGCATCATGGTCGCCTGTAGAAATTCTTGGTTGAGTGAAGTTGCCACCTTCCAGCGAGTGCCGAACAGTAGCCCACCAGGTTGAATCTCTTCGCTTATTCTTTGCTGATGTTCAAGAATAGCTAGGGCGGCTTGAATACATATTTCGTTGGATGTTGCGTTTTCTGTTTTGCTAGAGCTCTTCACGAAGCTACGTCTATGCAGGAGATAAGTTGCCTTATGTATGAGTATGTCCAGAGATATCTGATGTTGTATGGTCACGGGATCATCCGCGATGGAGGAGGTTGCAGATGACTTATATCTCATAAACCCGGGTATGGCGTTGATCGTGCTTTGTAGTTTTGCATCTAGCCCTAAGATGGCTTCAGGAGCTGGCGGACCTGCTTCAGTTGCATCATAGATCTCGGCGGCGACTTTGATGATCTTGTGCCTCTGAATCACATATAGGAGAGGAGTCAAATCTGTCAATGGTCGCTCAGGTGGCATTTCATCGTCTTCCATGCCAATATCATGATCGAAGAAGTGACCCGGAGAATGTGTATCGCATTGAGAATCCTTGATGACTCGCGGAAGTCCGACTTGTGTGCTTGTGAAAAAGTCCATTTGATAGAGAGTCATCCAAAGCCGACGTCGAAGCTCCGTCTGCAGTGGTCGGATATTTGACCAGTGGGAGGGATCACGATGAAGCCCCATGCGCAAGGCTAGCCGGATGACGACACCAATCAGGATCCAATTGCCGACTGATGCGTCGAAATTGAGGTTCTGATCAACCGCAAAGTGTAAAGTCAAAGTTTCGATTGTGTATCTGCTCGGTCGGAGATAATCTTCTGCAATCAAGCATTGAATTGTGAGGTTTCGATATATTTCTAGCGCATCCTGTGATGCTGGGCCACCAACATCCTGCCGCTGAAGAAGTGCAGACATACTCATAACACTGAACAAGAGTCCTATCCAAGTTATTGAAGTGGCCGCCGGATTATCCCAAAATTTTGCATACTAATACAAGTAAGTATTTTAAAATGAAGAACAACTGGACGAGTACCAACCTCTGCGAGAAACGTTTTTCTATGGATGACAACTGTCGAACCCCACAGCCACATCAGAATTGGAACAATTGTTATCAGCAATGAGGACTCGCAAATAAGCAACTTACATGGTCCCATGTCAAAGGCATTGAAGAACTGGGAGACGAGTCTATCAACCACCTTACGAGATGGTATCTGAGCCAGAATCTGGTCTTTCGAAAGACAAGGTGCACTGTTGAGCAAAGAGGTCCTAGGTGCTGATAAATTATCCATTATCTCTGGATGGAGGGTCTCTGTCGGGGATGATTGCTCCTGCGAAAGCTCATCTTTTAGATGTTGAATCTGTAAGTATGGTTAGGTATATGCGGTGAGTGTTCATTGATTTCGTAAAAGGCGCACATCTTCTAAAATCGTGACCCAATGGGAGCTCCCAGTGTAGACAACCTGGCCCTCGGTAAGACTTAATTTCTCCAGGCCAACGTCTGCTGTGCGAGGAGAGGTTTGTACAAGTCTACCATGTGTGACAGCTTCAGCCTGACCTGACTGTTCCCTCATCTCAGTGACTAGATTCTCAAGTCTAACTAGCCTTTGGCGAGCCTGGTAGCTCCTAGCATGTGATCTCGGCCGGTAGTCGATGGCATCTTTACGCTCCTCCTCGGAAAAGGCGTAGGTGCAATCTGCGGCTTTGCCACGTGAGACACAACCGCCACATGGGGATTGTCTATCACAACGAAGCCTAGATAAAGCGTGGATCAGCACTTAATTCGGTACCAAGGTCTTCTAAGATGCACTCACTTCCGTCCCCTGCAGAAGTTGCAGCTTAATACTGGTTTATCCCGTCGACGATTAGGGTGCGGTGTAGGCTGCGCCATATTGGGCATGGCTACGCTTCGGCGGGCTAGTTACTGCCAGCGCTCTGCATAGTGAGTCGCTAGATGACCTTCGTCATTGGCCTAAGCGGCATCTACTGGTATGCAGCTTGTGGTCTTCCAGAAGGAGAGTTGATGTCGTCGGATGCCACAACAATAACGCGCTATTTCTTAGTGCAGCATGCCAATTAGATCCGTCCTCGCAGCAAGCCAAACACGTTCCTAGGCCATGTGGGGGTTTGTTTCGGTTCGATAAGATGACTAAGTCCTCCTCGACAGCGCCATAAAAAGGGCACCATTTCGCGTTTTGATATCTTACAGGGCTCATTACTACCTATCCCAGACTAGTAACCTCTTCGAAAGGAAGGTTATTACGGTCTGGTGGGAGATCACGCAGTTCTACGTCTCTGACTCTCGTTTTCAAGTTCGCCGCTTTCGCTCTTGGGGGCGAAAAATAAAAAAAACCTTTAGGCTCAAATAATAGGTTCGGGGGATCACATGGTGAGCTTGTTCAGAGCTGGGCAGGGGCAGTACTGTTCACTTGGTCTTTGTCAGCATACATGCATGCTATTCGGCAAGACGTACGGCCCCCAGCATCTTTGAAGCTATCGACTCTTGACAACAGAGTCACTAGTAACGCAATTGATCATCGCAGCTAAGGCCCTATGTGAAATTCAGCCCCCAATTCTAAATTTAGGTGCACAGCTCTGCCATTTTGATAAACCTCCGTGAATGTTGAGTGGATATGCAGTAGTCGCCAGCAGGACAGCGTGGCTGTGTTAGTTGGTGGGCTAGTAGTCTTGAGGCCCGAAAGTTGTACATATACAGAGCACGACTTCCACACAATTCTCTGACTAGAAATACAAATGGGAAGATGTGGCCAGCTACTATGAACCTCCTGCTGAACTAAAGTAAATCCATCGTTTTCAACGCAGTTCTACTTTCTCAGCACGTCGGGTGGCATACCAAGTATGAAGCTCTCCATAACTTTGCTTTGTGTTGTTTCTTTTTTCACATCATATAGCTGTGCGGGCAGATCGATCACCCCGAACGAGATTTGGAATCGCGCCGAGGTGGATCAATCACGATGTGATGCCTCTCCCGATCCTGACATTGCAGGAAATGGAGTCAGAGTTGGCCTCTGGCTTCAGGCTGTTGCCCTTGGCCTAACTATATGTTCTGGCTCACTGAGGCTCGCATCTGCTCTACCGGCAACAATCATGTCTTCAATTGTATATAACCTGATACTGTCTATGAAAGCTACCGGTGTTGTCTTCACATCCTACCCCGTAGTGCAGGACTTTTGGGTCGCAACCGGACAGCTCTGGGTTTTAACAACAATCGTGCCATATGCGATGCTCTTTCAAAAATGGGAAGTCGGCTACTTAGGTTTCACCAAGGGTATTCTATTTATAATCACTGTGATCTACACCTATGTACAAGCCCTCTGGTTCTGGAGCGACGGCTGGAAAGAGAGTGATGAACGTGTCTGTGGCACACAAGAGTCAACCTTGTTCTCCGGTCACTACGAGTTGTTCAGCAAGAACGGCAAGGCAGCAATGCTCGTATTGTACTCTGTTGGTCTGATTATCTTTGTTGTCGCCGTTCCTCTTTCCTTGAAAAGAAGACGCGGAATCTTCGCTCGCATCATTGAGATTGTGCCGACAGAGTACGACTCGGTTAGAGCTCTTGTCATGCTATTGCTTCTGCTGCCCGCCTACCTATTTCCGATCTGGTTTGTCGAGGGTACAGTTAGGAGAGGATCTCAGCGCATAGTAATGCAGTCAACTGGACAATGGCTGGCTCTCGGTTTGGGGGTTGCAACTCTAGCGGAGGTTATTTGGCAGATTTTGACAGCTGTACGCAGAGAATTGGTACTTGGAGAGCCATTCTCTGAAGAGGAAATTGGGGAACAAAATCTTAAGAACAAAGTGAAGGGGCGAAAAGACAAAACGAAGAGGAACGAGTCACAAGCTTTTCTCATGGAGAGACTACCTTACTGACGACACGGTCTTCACAAACAGACACTTCACTCAGTTATGATCATCAGAATTTTCTTAATTCATATCCAAAGTCCTTCATTTAAGAAACAGTCGACAGACAAATATAGTACGAATTTCTATTCCGAACTGAATTCGCCTTCACGGCATCTCAACCTCGTCATTGGCTATGTAGATTTTGCCTTTCAGCTCAAACCCAGCAAGAATTTGGCAAATCAACTCATGCAGAAATTATCCACAGAAATGAGCCTAGTGCTATTTGTTTGAGACGAAGCGTGGACTGAATTGTTGACAGAAGAAGCGAAGAAGAGTATTAGCGCGTGTAAACGAAAAAGACATTCTCTCGGTCAGTCAGATCAAGAAACGCGGCCTTCTCTCTTTCACGCGCGACATCCTCCTCGGTCCAATTGTTGTCAGCAATGAGCTTCTCAAGTGCGATCTTCTTCTGCCTATTCCAGCGTGTGTTGACATAAGCCATCGCGACACAGCAACACATCATAATCGCAGTTAGAACAACAATAGCTGCCTTGCCGGGGATGTAGCCGGGAGCATCTTTGGGTAGAAAGATATAGGTGCCAACTACTGAACCTACGCCGAAGGTGAAGAGCGTGAATGAGTTGACAGTGACCTTCTTCGTATGACCACCAGTGTTAGATGCATTCCACGCGTAGCAAAGAGGGAAACACGGAGCGGACAGATTCTGGAATAGCTGGGCAAATTGAAGCACTCCCTTCTGACCAGCGTACTGCATCGTGGTCATGATAATCATGCCGATAAGCGTTGGAAGCATGAATATGAGAATCAGGGTCATACGATCGTTGAGGCGGTCAGAGAGCCATCCCACAGCGACGACTGCAAACCCGCCGATAGCGGCACGAGGCATGTCAAGAAGCAGGGTTTGACGTGACGTCCAACCAAAGCTCTTTGTGATGATGTTGCTGAATGCAGAGTTCCCACCATTCGGTATGCCGATGCACATGATGATTAGGAACATGATCCAGGAGCGAATGTCTTTGAAGGTCTCGGTGATTTGATATCTCTTGATGTGCTTGTTGTGAGTGCCAGCTTGGTCAAGACGGACACGTTCGAGCGCAGCGATCCTTTCGTCTTCTGACAAGAATCGAGCAGTGATAGGCGAGTCAGGGAGAAACAGCACAACCAGAATACCATTGATGATAGCGAGGGCACCAAGGATCAGGTATAAGAATTTCCACGGCTCGATAGAGCCTTCAAAAAATGTAACTCCGTAGGCAACGCCTCCTCCCACAACCGAAGTGCTTAGATTCCCAGCGTAGAACCAGCCGATCCGAGTAGCCCGCTCTCTTTGTTTATACCACATACTGACTATCAGGATCAAGCTAGGAGAAACGCAAGCCTCCAGCATTCCTAAGAAGAACCGGAGTGCATAGAACCCAGAGAAATTGTGGCATACGGCATGCAACATGACCAGTCCACCCCAGACGATGATGTTGCAACCAAGGTACTTTGCAATCGGGAATTTCTGAGCGATATACTGAGTTGGAAACATCCAGACGAGAAACCCCATATAGAAAGCTTGGGCAACATCATTATACCATATGCCATGGACAGGAAAGTCCATGATAGACGCGTAAGACAAGATATTCTTGTCTAGAAATTGAGTGAAGTATACGAATATCATGATTGGCATGACATGAAGGTCCTGAAGGAGTAAATTAGCTCCATGAATGCCTCATGCTGTGGCTCGTTTCGGATCAACCCACTATCTTGCGTCTGAGACGGAGGAAATACTTCTCGTCAAATCGGTGAGCGTGAGTTCCAACCAGCTTTAGGGCATCATCGCCATCTGAAGAAACGGTTTCTCCCTCCGTAATTGAAGTTGCATGCCGGGCAGCATCATCTCCGGTTTCGGTCAGCCTCGGACTTTTCTCATCATCGATGGGCAGCATCGGTGAGGGGGGTACCTGGGTCATGGTGACTGGATGCAGGGAAATCAAGTGGTGTGTGCACGAGGTTGCGAAGCAATAATGGGCCAGTACAAGTGCGACCTTAGTCGGGGCTGTCTATCGGTGGTTTAAATTGTCCACGCATCGATTTGTGAAACTTTCGATTCATTATATACCCTGAAAGCTATGGACCCAGAATCCTATCCACTTCATGGAAAGAAAGCCCGGGCAAAAGCCGTTATCATCGCAGCCGTCCGCTATCATGTGGACACCAAAAGATGGCGATAGCCGGCCAGACATGAGCAAAATCGCCATGAGACATCCCGCAACGCTGCCCTGCGATAACACAGCTTGCGCCACTAATAGGAAGAGCGTGCTATGAGATGGCGGCTGTTCGCTTCCGCTACCTTATCAAAGTCGATTCCCCACTCCCCGGTCAATCAAGCTTTGCCTTTATCAAGTGCCGACTACCGGGGTTCAATGCAATGGTGTGAATTACATCAACATTGCTGCTTTAGGAAGGAGGCTAAGGGTACCGGGAATATGGACTTGAAGTGAGGTGGCGTCCACCATCTGTTTTGTATATCGTAACTTGCAATGCAAGGGGTCAAGGTGACCACCTCTATGATGAAGCCTTCTGTAAGCCAAATGTCAGACCGCCAATCAAGTGAATATGACACCTCTCTTGCATTGCCTAAGAAGCCTGTCCGAGCTGGTAGGCCGACCCGTAATTGCTTATCAGAGCCCAGCAAAGAGGTAGGTTTGGAGCATCACATATCTTGACCAATAATATTGTGTGTGATCTCTGAGCCGTTCTAAATCCGCAACATATCTTTTGTCGCGACGGGTATGGTTGTATGGTCATTCAAATTCTGTTCATTACCTTACGTACTAAACGGAAACTGTACAGATTCTACTTTCGAAAAAAAAAGAAACCAAACATCTACCATTTATCCTTTTTCCGGTCTACACACTCTAGATTCTCATGATCAACTTTTTTATTTGCTCATCTCTATTTATATGGCGAAGAAGAGGCATCTTTTCTGAATGACGGAGGTTTAGGACTTTAAATGGGCTGAGCTCCTTTGCTCCTTTAAAAGTACTACTATTTGAGGCATTCTAAATAACATTCAAGCTGTTTGCATCACTGATTCATTCTACCTCGTATCATACCTGACTTTATTTACAAGAGACCCAATTTGACTGATCTGGATCGAAATTTCATCACCGTCCCGGAGGACCACTCTGGGTTGCCGGAGAAAGCCGATGCCGGCCAGAGTGCCCGTTAAGATGAAGGACCCAGCCTTTAGAGTAGTGCCCTGGGACAGATATGATATTTGCTTCTTGACATCAAATATCATATCCCTGGTTTGACTGTTTTGAACAACCTCTCCGTTGTATATTGCCTTGACTGACAGTTCCTGTGGGTCAGCTATAACAGAGGAAGAAACAAGGACAGGACCTAACGATAAGGCACAGGGTATTAGTACCCAACTTGCGTTCTCAAGTTCAAGGCATTGAAGTCACCAATTGGACAGCTCCCGTCAAGCTCTTTGGAGAAGGACCACTGCGGGGTGGTCTTCTGCAAAGAACGGGCCGATACATCGTTGGATGCAGTATAGCCTAGCACATAATCAATAGCTTCCTCATCTGGAATATCTCTTTCGGTTTTGCCAATGACAAGGCAGAGTTCGGCCTCGTAGTCGCTCGTTCCATCTTGAGCACACATGGGAATGTTGATCGAGGCAGGATAGAGACCGGCAAGGGCCGATCGAGGCTTGGTGAACAAGATGGGTGCTTTTGGAATCGCAAGATTTGTTTCCTGTGGGTGCACAGTTGGCTTCGAAACTACAGTATGACTATAAGGATGCACATACTCGAGCGTGATCAAGATAATTTAAGCCGAGACAACGAATGTAAGTGCAATCTTCTTTGCAGTTAGGTGATAGAAGCTGCAGAAAGGTAAGCTAGTCAGAAAGGATGGCAACGTCAATGTTGCTGGAACATTGAGAGTACACACCTGCTTCACATGCAAGATGTCTTTGGTGACTTCCATCGACGATGGTTACATCAATTAGGTAAACAGCGATCTCCTTGCTATCAACAGAATCCCGACCAGCGTCTCGATCCATGTCGAGGAGTTGACCCAAATGAACTTAATTCTCCTCAACGACAGAAAAGCGGACAAGGTATGTCCAGGAGGTCATCTTAAGCAGAGAAAAGGATAGTTTTCCAAGATCTTTAAGAACTTTTCGGCAGACTCGAGGAACATTCTCGGCGGAGTATTTGATCCATGGTAGTCCGGATCACTCTGCAGGACTATTTACGAGATATACACTCGTCTCCAATACATGAATTTCTGATTTTAACCACGACTGCCTCTCTCTCTTACCGTTGTGCGTCGCCGTTTCTAGATTGTAATTAGTCATTTACACACATCTTTGGCGGTAACTAAGCCCTAACTCTTCTCCATCATTGGGCAGCTTTGCATCATCTTTTCCGGCCGTCTTTAAAGGTATATGCTTGAGAGTGATGTCGTAGTCTCCTCCAGCGTCCTCGATCTTGTTAGAGCCGAATACCATTCTGGCTAGGCACTCCACAAGATGATCGTCCATGGCGGCTGCCTGCTCTGGGGTAAGGTGACCCTGCAGAATCGTGGGGAGCTCATCGCTGAGTTTGATGATGTGGGGGAAAATGTCGTCCGCGTCGAGCTCTCCATCCATGATATTATAGTCGTACGCTCCGTCCATCGCGATCGCTGAATCTAGCCGAAATGTTGAGGTCATAACGTGGCGCAATGCCTCCGCCATATCAATCTGCGTGGAGGAGGAAGGAGCGATCTGCAAGTCCTTCATCCTGTTAGAGAAGGAAAAATGTTTTCTGTCAAAGTTCTTCGAATGGATGGTAAATGCGGAAAGAAATTGCATCATGTAGGAAGGCACAAGGGAAGCCTGAGTCACAGGGAAAGTCTGACCGAGCTATCTCCGGCACCTGCCGCTTAGGAGACGTGCCTCCAATCGTCTAATGAACCAAAATTTCGTATCAACCAGTATATATCAAACTCACCTGCCAGTTGGGCCAGATGATCATAATCTTGTAAGTTAACGGATGATTTATAAGCTACCATTTTGCTTTATTTATGCTTTATTTTACTAGTTACTACTGGTTCGAATATAATATTCGCTACTTTTACATTCTCGGTACTCTCTTGCACCTTAGGGGCCTGTTATTGCGGCCGTGCTATGTGATATCTTGAGAGGATGTTAATCGACGGCAGACACTGCTGCCCTGTTTCACTGCTATACACGCCGAATCAATCTTGGAGAAACCAAGATGAGGCTTGCGGTGATTACAGTTTACTGCTTTCACGAGCGTTGACTACTGCTACCAGCGTTGATTATTATTACGAGTGGCGGGTAAGTTGTTGGATAAGCTGGTTAAATGGGCGCCCACATAAGACCAAACCCAGGAAACAACCGTAGCCCATCACGTGCAAGTAAAAGACACTCTAAACCGCCACGCGGGTATTACCTCCTGTAACGCTGGGCAAAATAGAGGGGTTTGATTTCACATCCAACGTGCACGACACGATGTTCACCAACCCACAAATCAATATCTACTCTCACAATGTCCTTGGCCTGGTGACTTTCTATCAAGGCCTTGGCTTCAAAGAAAGTTTTCGGTACCCGGAGAATGACACCCCTATCCACGTCGAAGTCAAGCTCGACCATTTCGTCATTGGGATAGCATGGGTTGACTCCGCTATCTCCGATCACGGTCTGAAGCCGGAGCTTGGCGGACGCCCTGTTGAGATCGTCCTCTGGACTGATGATACGGATCGCGACTTCGCTCGCCTCACTCAAAGTGGCGCACCGACTCTTAGCAAACCTCACGATTGGCTCGGGGGCAAATTGAGACTAGCTTGGACTGCTGATCCAGATGGAAATCCAATCCAGCTCGTCCAAAAGCGCACCTGAGGTTGCCCGAGGCTCGGATGTACGGCTTGGGTCGAAGGGCATCTCACTGGCGCAAGCAAGCAGCTGCGCTACTTCACTCACGGGCAACGTTCATGGCTTCTTTTCATCTGCGAGTTTGGATAGTCTCTCTCACGTCACAAAGACAGAACTTGATTTGAAAATGAAAACTAAAGAGCTTTATTGGAGATGATAGAAATAGGTTGAAACAATCAGAACTGGCGCCAAAAAGGGTATCGCCACCCAAGGAGTGAACATTAAGTATTATGAAATGCCCCAAAGAATCAACAACTCCTTCTGCTCATGTTATTATTATTCAAACTTCGGTGTCAATTTGCTCCTCTCAGTGGTAGTGCTGGCCAGTTGGTAGATGCTGGACTTATTCGTCATGTCAAACACAGAAACATCGGCCCGGAGCTCCTTAGAAAGCCACGATCGTAGTTCAACGGCAACCAGTGAGTCGACACCATACGCGTGTAGTGGCTTTGCGGGATCCAGTGTTTCGATTTCGACACTTGTGACTCTGGAGATCTTGAGTAGTAGTGCCTCTAGGACAATCTTCTCTGCTTCCTCAATTGAAGATGCTACTCCAAGAAGGGCAGCGTGGTTAACCTCTTTCTTAGCTTCCCCTGTTTTTTCCGCTGATTTCTCCGTCTGCGTAAGATGACTGAAAATAAGGTCATCCTTCCACGCAGGTAATTGATAACCCTCAGAGGCGGTTTCTTGAGGAAGCCAAAATCGAGGGATTACCTGTGCGTTGTTGATCGGGGCCGGTTCCGATAATGGGCGGCAATGATAATCGAGCACAGCGTGTAGCTCATTCTCTTCCATAAAAGCCCAGCCGGTAGACTGCATGTACTCCATCAGTCCGGGCTTTTCAGCCACAAAGCCAACCCCACGGACGACAGGAAGATCCAAACAGACGACATTCAGTCCCTGAGAGGCAAGGTGATGGGCAAGTGCGTCCTGGAACGCACCTCCCGCAGCGTAGTTGGCCTGTTCCGGATTGCCAGTGACGCCTATCATCGAGGACAAAAGAACCATGAAATCAAGATCACGCCCTAGAACATTATGAAGATTCCATGACGCTTGCACCTTAGATCTTACAGCTTCATTCCATTCCTCGAGAGACATGTGTTCGAGGCGATTATCCTACGATGGATTAGCGTAAGGTCGAGTCTCACAAGGCGCTTTCTAGTACTTACTTTCAAAACCATCGAGCCTTGGACACATCCTTTAATTGGAGGCATGTGACTCAAACACTCATTTATAACCCTTTTGAGAGTTTCCTCGTCCGTCACATCGCAGGGTGGTGCTGAAACTTTGTCGCATATGGATTCAAGCTCTTTAATGAAGTCAATCGCGGATGGGTGAGCTGCGCCGCGTCTTGATAGCAAGATCAGATTCTTCGCGCCACGAGATGCCATCCACTGCGCAACGGACCGTCCTAGACCTCCCAGACCGCCTGCAATTACGTAAGAAGCATTTGCATCGAACTGGCTCTTAGGCTTCTGACTCGATATGACTGGCACTACATCTTCATCATGAGGCTCCAGAACCAGCTTTCCAATATGAGTTCCGGATTGCATTTGGCGGAAGAGATCCTGGATTTGAGAGAGCGGGTAAGTTGTAATTGGTGTTTTGCGGCCAGGTGCTGCACTGCCATGGATGACAAGTGCAACCATTCTCTGAAACATGGCGTGGGTGCGAATTGGATCGTGTACTGCTCTGTAAGCGAGTTCGAACGCCTCAAAGCGGGCATTTCGAACGAAGTTGCCCATGCTGATGCGTGTGTTCGAGTTGATATCCGCAACTCCCAGCTCGACGAATCTACCAAATGGCGCAACACAGTCCCAGGTAGCCCTAAGGGCTTCACCTGCAAGAGAATTCAAAACTAGATCCACACCACGGCCGCCAGTCAATCGTTGAATACCAAGTTTGAACGACAAATCTCGACTGGAGAATATGTGGTCTCGGGGTATCCCGTACGTGGCCTCCAAGAACTCGCGCTTCTCATTGTTACCCACAGTCACGAACACCTCCGCCCCTTGATGTTGTGCCAATTGAATCGCAGCCTGCCCAAACCCACCAGCAGCGGAATGGATGAGGACGGTATCACCCTTGCGGACAGTGCCGGTCTCGAATAGTACCGCATACGCAGTGGTGTAGACGATAGGTATTGATGCAGCCTCAGTCCATGACATTGATTCTGGAATTTGGGCAAGGAACCCATCGGACGATCGAGCAAGTGTCTTGATGACCCCCAAGAAAGATAACCCAAAGACTCGGTCACCTACTGCAAACTTCGAGTTCGGACCTGTCCGCGTGACGATTCCAGCCGCTTCCAGTCCAAAAGCCGGTTCTTCAATCTTGCCTAGAGCAGAAGCTAGATCACGGAAATTGATTCCACAAGCCATAGGCTTGAACTCAACTTCATCATCTTCCAGCGGCTTATTTGATAGTGGATCATCCTCAAACCTCAGAGTGTCCAATTGCCCCAAATTTTCAATCTGGAGAGCAAGTGACCGGGTGGGATCTGCCGCAAATTGTTGCTGCACCACCTCGAGGGATCCAGTTTGGGTCTGAACATGCTTCATCAAGTATTCTGCCTTCACCAGGCGTGGTACATGAGGAATTCCGTTGATGATTCTGATTGAGTTCTCACGCTGGTCCTGGTTGGCAAGGACTGTTTGTTTGCACTTTTCAATGATTATGGTCGCATCCGCATTTCCATCAAATGACAAATTGACAAAGTCAAGATGCTCATTTTCTAACCGGGCAACTCTTGCAAGTCCTTGAGACAGCTCCAAGTCCGGAGCAGCATTAAATGAAACTCCGCCACGTGTAAGCCAAATGATATTTTTGCAATCATTTGTTAATCGTTTCATGATCTGGAAAGTACTTTCCGCCACGTTCTGTAGGATTGGTGCATCCAATTCAGCGAGAACCAGGAAGGTAGTGCCATTAATATCAACCGGAACATTCTCGATTGTGACGATCTCACAGGGTCCCCGCTCAGACAGGAGACCCAGTAGGCCATCGGCTACTTCCTTCTGCAAAGCGGATGCTGCATCCACCATAATGTAGACTGGACTGATAGCACTTGCTGGGGCCACTGGAGAGACACCTGATACAAGGATCGAGCTAATCTGATATTTCGATCCAGGGAAATCATCAAACACACCATCAAGGCCAGTGAAACCAGATGCAATGAGATGGCTTCGCCAAGTGTCTGCGGGCATTAAGGGACCCCAACACCGATCAGCATCTTCTGAGAGCCACCACCCAGGCAGTACACCGAAGCAGAAGCTGCTCAATATAATATCTGTGTTGGTGATCTCATAGAGAAGGAGCTTTCCACCAGGTTTGAGGAGCTTTCTTGCATTTGATAATGAAACATCAATCTTTTTAGTTGCGTGAAGGACGTTAGCAGCAACGATGAGATCGTATGTGCCAGCTTCAAAGCCCTGCTCGAGAGGATCGTTCTCAACGTTCAACACCTTAAAGCTCATACTCCCTAGCTGACCACTAAAATTTTCTCTGGCGTGCTCAAAGAATGAAGGCGAGATGTCGGTGAAAGTGTAGTGTTGGTATCGTTGCCCATGCTTCGTCAATGTCTGCATAATGGGCCTGGTTGCGCCTCCTGTTCCAGCACCAATTTCAAGCATTTGCATGGTCGGGTTCTTGTGCACCAAAGCATCTATGTAGTTGCAAAGCTGTAGGTAGCATCTTTCAGAACCAAGACCGTTTCTATACACGTTCTCGGCTAGGTTGTT